AGTGGCTAAACACGAGACCGTACTCTCCGTCATTTCACACTGTAGTTTGTAAAAGTAATGTGTAGCGTAGTTTATGAGTTGTAAGCCTGTTATTATCTTTCAATATTCAAACACATAAAGCCATCAATCGTTGAATTCACTTTCTATTTTTATCGAATAAAAATGCTGAACATTCCATAACTTATATCTTATTTGGTTAATTATTTATCTTTTCTACGATTCCTAGAAAAGTTAAAGAGGACTTGTAATAGGAAAGTTTGCCTTATTTTTTTATATGCAATATTCTTTACGGAAGTCTTGAGGAGAAGTTTCCTAAGTAAAGTAACTGCCAAATACAGCTTTTAACAACTAATTTAATAGAAACATTGGTTAAAGCGCACATTATTTGTGATTACATTGAGTGATTCGAAGCTTGTGTAAAAAAATATAACAAGATAATTGAATAAACCATCGCCGACGTGTATTACGCACGCTCACACAAAAAGCTCTCTAAGTAATGATTAATATCGAATCACGGCCAATTATGTTGTCCTGATCTTCGTCAAAGGCCATACGGATTATACCCGAAGGCGATTCTGATGATCAGGGTTTGAATAGGACTCTGTCGATGATCATTTCTAAACGAGCACACCCTGTGTAGTTGAAGTAATCTCCGTCTTATAGAAAGTGAAACTCCCCCGTGTTGACAATAATGCCTTATGTAATTACGTGGCATTGTGCGCATATGAAATAGCTCTCTGATGTCAACCATTTAGCGAATACGCCCACGTTGTCTTGTCGCACCGAGCATGAAATTTGCGACTCTAAGTAGTCACAATAGCCCGGTTTCGTCTGTACTACTTGCGTGTGATGTTATGCGCTTCCGTGATCGTCGAGCAACCTCTACGAACCTCTTGATGCTGGTACTTTTAGAGTACAACCAACTGACGGTTATATACGCCTAACTTTTCATTTCCAAATAGCCGTTTAATTATCTTGACACGATATAATAATAACATTGGATATTCTAAATTGAATTGAATGAAAGACAACAAAGAAATTTATTTTTAGTCAAAAACTTGACTAAGAAAAATAAGAAATCAAAAGCGTCTCGCACGCATATAAACTAGATTCTCTCAAGATTAAACAGTCGTGATATTATTAGGAGTAATTGTTTGATATACTTATAGGTTATTCACTTACGGACGAAGAACTTTCTGTTAGAATTTCTCTCAATAGCGCAAGTATGAAGTGCAAATGTAATTAAGCTTCCCGTTTTCACATGCCGATAATACGTCGCCTCAAACAAGAGTCGTGACTTGTGAAACAAACTCGTATGGACAGATATGGCGCATTGTTCCGCAAGGAATTCAAAACGATACATCTGTAAGTCTGAGAAAATATATTTTGTGCACAGACCATATTAGGTACTAGAGAGATTAAAATCGTAACGCTTGTTCCGATTGATGTGGTGTTAGGCATATATATATATACTATATATATATATATGTTAATTATTACTTTGTCATAGTATGTGCGTAATATATTTACAACAGTATTTTATAGACCGGATGTAGAACTGCCCCTTAGAATTTTTTTTGAACTTCAATAAATTAAATGAATAAATTATGCCCAAGAAAAAATTATTTCTTGGGCATAATTTATTCATTTACGTCTATTTTATACACTAAGCAGAACAGAACATACAGAAGTTATGCAGGGATCTCAAATAGCATAAAACATCCCACGAGCAACACCACGTAGAATGTTGCCCAATCATTAATTTTACGGTACACGGGTTATCTTCAACTTGTTCTGACTTATTCATTTTTATGGATCTTGCCTTTTTAATACTTGCGCAACTTCTTTCATTAGAAAGGGAACATGCTTTAGTATATTTGATGTGAGATATGAGAACAGGAAAAACGGATATTCTAGAAAACAGGCTCTTTTATGATGTTCTCAACCGCAACAAAATCTTAGTTTCAATCTTTAATACAGGAATATAGTTTAAACTGAGATATCAAACAAATTTCGATGGCTTTCAGATGTGAAATTGTCGGATTTACATTAGTGTATTTGCGTAATATCTGACTGGTGAGACATACTTTTTAACAAATATCTCATTACAGCTGATAGACCGGAGTTATTTTCATCATCTAGTCAGTACTTAGTTAATAACTAAGTATGAATAAATATCGAGCTGTATTCTCATCAAGCTTATAAATATAATAAATTAATTAGTTTATGTCAATATAACGGGTCCTTAACATACATTGAGTTTTTGGCGGAAATTAATTGACATTTATTGAAAAGATAAGGTAAAAACTAAACGAAAAGGGTGAACGATATTTAAAGGAGTAACATTTACAAGAAGTATTAGTACAGTTAATAGTTTAATTTTATGAGTTCGGCATTTTTTTTATTGTACGTAACAAGCAATGATAATTAAATCTGACGTAACTATAAAATAGTTTGAGACAGATAATTGGGGAAGCTCTTCCAGGGCTCTTAGGAACAAGGCCTTTTGGAAGACCGGCACTTTTGATTGAGAACGCAATGATATCTTTATTATTTTTGCAGTACATTCTCTTTTGTTTCGAGGCGCCCATCTTTTACATTCGCTCATCATCATCCACGTGAAAGCTTGCTTTTGTATACAGTGAATTTACATTTCATTTGCTTTAGCAGCCATCGTTGGTGTAGTACCATGTGTGTCTTTATTTCTCTATAAACTTTCTTATGGACACCCATCAGAAAAGCAACCTGGTATCGGCCATTGCAGTGTAGGGACGCCTTCCCCACTAGATGGAGTGACTTCTGAAGTGTCCGGGAAGTTGATGGATGCAGGTGGCTCAGGATCGTACTTCGTGGCAGTCTGTGGGGGACTAGGCCTATGTTCAGCAGTGGACTCAAACAGGCTGAAACGGTGATAATGATATTGATAAACTTTATTTTAAATGTCAGCTAAAAATCAAATATTGTAAATGGGTCATAAATAAACAATGGGAATGAATTCTTGATAAGAGTGTAATATTTTTTGGTTTTTCGTATTTAATCATTAGCTAGCATTTGCGACCCGTGTACGGTATAATAATTATCACTGGTTACTGGGGCTTACGAGTTCGAAGAGATGGGTAAATAGCTAGCAGTTGTCTCTATCTACCCCATTATAGTAAAAAGAGAGTTTATATTTCTATTCAAACAAGAAAGTAGGTGTTTTAAGCCCATCTTAATAAACAAACGTCTATAATATAAAAACATTCAAAATGACTGGTCCAAATCTCATAAGGATTAATTTCGAATTTTTTAATATGGTATTCAAATGCTTATAACATTAAGCCTAAAAACCTAACGTTTCGAGCTTAGCATTTAAGATCTACTTTCAAATAATCAGATTACGGTGCATTATCTATCGGAAAGGAGAAATCTTACGGAGTCATCTTACAATGATTCATGTAAACGGCGAAACATATAGTTTAATAAAATGATTATTAAATATTAAAAAATAACGCTGAGTTTAATAAAATAATTAATTGATAAGGTAATGAAAAGACATCAGATCGCTTATTTATCGTTTGGAGACTGTCATCAATTATTTTTCTGTATACATTTATATAAAGATTGTTTATAAAATCAACAATTGTAATGATACTGCATGTATTGATGTTGGTGGGAAAAAAGGAGCGCTGCCTAACCTTTGAAATCGCCTTAAGCGCTTCTTAACATTTTATAATCTGTCTCAATTGTTCCCAATTGCAAATATGTACATTTTTATTGCGTCATGGCGTCGTCCGGAGTTTTTTGTATTCTTTTATAGCTGAAGCGGGATGGCTTATCACGATGACCAGATTCATTCTATACTCATAAAACATTCTGTACGAGTTCCATAAAAATGGAGCTAAGCAAATATTTAGGACGCCGTGGTAGGCGGCCAAATGACACTTGATTTCATTAAGTCTCGAGTTAATAATCTTTAAAACGGAGGACCGAGCTTTGGTCGGTTTTTTTTGGTAAATCATTTATTTTGGATATAAAAAAATAAAAAATAAAGAAAATGATCTGGTCTAGGTAAAAAGTTAAAAAAATAAGTGTATAAATGATCGTAATACGAACCGCGGCCGTCTGTTTTGGGCCCGCCCCATTACCGACCGCGCTATTATAACATATTTTTGCGGCGAAATTAATTATATTTTTCATTCCCTGAAAACAGGGATAAAAGGATTTTTTTTTTAAATAAAACCTAAAATTGAAATGGAAGCTAGATCGATTTTTCGCCCCTGAATCTACACACATACTAAATTTCATGAAAATCGCTGGAGCCGTTTCCGAGATGCCGATTATATATATAAATACAACAATTGCTCGTTTAAAGGATAAGATGTATTAATGTATTAATAACTCTGGCTCCCAAGATACTTTAAGCACCAAAACGCTATCATTAGCCTGTTCCATACGCCACGAGTGTTTTGGTGCAATTTATTTTTACATTTTGACCTCAATTTTTATAAGATATGAATAATTTTTAATACAATGTGAACATAGAAACTTTATACTCCGCTTCTTGGCAATATCTCAAGATTTTAACCAAGTAAAAAAAATATTAAGCTAACATTCATTACGATTATAATATTATGATATATCATTGGATAACATGCGCACGCTGAAGACGATGCGTTGTGTATGAAGTCACAAGCACCTTTACTGTTCCGCACAACACAAAGAATGTAACTGGAACCGATCAAAAACATTGCAATAATCGTAACACGGAAGTACACATAGTAGATTATGGTAATCACACTGCACAGCGGGTATTTTAAAATGGTAGTTAGACCTAAAAGAATTATCCTACTTCGTTTAATATGTATATTATTAAATTCCATTGCTTCTACATGGGAGAAAATAATAAAGTAATAAGAATTGTCAATAAGACATAACATTTAAAAATGTAATCTATTTGTTATTCATAAAAGTATTACGATCTTATACACAAATTAATTTAATTTTTTTTTCTATTTCAGGTGCCGTTTCTTATTCTCGTTGCTATATTTTCTGTGAGTATAGCACAAGATCCAACAGAAAACGGGAATATTGATAATAGCTTGGAACCGAAACCATCGGTGAGATTAGATCCTTACATACGAAAAGCTTTATTAAAAGCACTGACTGATCTAGAAGAAAATGATAATGGGACCAATAGTGAAACAACTGACGTGGATCCAACTGTGGAAACCGAATATTTAAGAACAGGTGAAGATTTTTCAACAGTTCAAACAATTAAAGAAGGTGTACAAATCCATTCGTACGTTGTTAATGGACAATCTGCATTTTCCAATAGTACAGATGCTACACCCACTATTATTGATAACAGTGTATCTAATTTAGGCACCACGATTGGAAACGTTGAGAACCAAGTAACAGCCACTTTACCAACACAGAATCCTTTCACAGAAATTTTTCAAACCAAAGAAAGTGTCAATCTTTCTCATTTGCGAACAAAACAAAGTCCAAAAATTGATACGACAAATAAAATCCAAGCCATTAATAGCATAAAACCCAAGCCAACAACAACAACAACCACTACTACTACAACCACAACAACTCCGAAACCAACACACGACGGGGACGGTAAAAACATCGAAGAAGTCGATAAAAAAGATGTTCAAGTTTTCCAAGCTCCTTTGGTTGCAGCGTTTACAGTCCATCAAGATGCTCACGGGCTGCCCAAGAAAGTTGTGCCTATTTATCAACAAACGAATATTCAAGATACATTAAAATCTCAACCAACCACAAATGATCCCATAGGGGTATTACCACCCCAAATATTATCCCAAAACTTTCCATTAGAACACAGAAATATAAATAAAATACCCCAAAATAATTACATATCACAGCAATTACTATTACAAAAACAACTTGAGGAGAAACAAAGAATTCTCGAAGAGCAGCTTCAATTGTTACAAATTCAACAAAGACAACAAGAAGATTTACTACGTAAACAACAGTTCTTACTTCAACAAAAAGAAGCTCAACGACAACAACAAATTATATTTGAGCAAGATCAATTCAAAAGGCAGCAACTTTTAGTTGAACAACAAAAACTGCAAGCAAATCAGGTTTTAAACACTTTTCAAGGTCAAAAGTCCGTTCAGTCCAATCGCTTCCTGAATCCAAGTCATGTACAACAAAACCAAAATTCCCAAGTATTAGTACAGCCAAGTGTACACTTGGAACAAGTTAATGTATTAGCGAACCAACAGCAACTACCTAACAGAGAAGCTGTAGATTTTCTAATCCACCTTCGTAGTCAACGGCCCGAACAATTTCCCTTGCAAGAAAATCACTTACCACAAGGCATCAGCAATTTCTTGCAGCCAAATCCAAGTCAAGCAACATTTCATCTAGGACCAACCTTCAACCAATTGAGAATATCTGAAGAACAGAATAGGCAAAAACAGGGTAATCGCGTGTTTCGTCAAGAGAGTGGTGTAGGAAATTTTGGTTTAAATAATCCAGAGTATAACCGATTTAATACTTTCAGTCCGATTTATACCAACAGGTTTTTTCCAATTAATAGACAAAATCAATTTAATGCTGATGCCCAACTGAAACAATTATTAGTTCAAACAGGTCTTAATGGAAAAGCACATGAGGATTTAAATATAGTCACAAAAGTATTGTCACTGAATCATGGTATACCTGTAAATAACAACATTTCTAATAGATTACCTTTTGACAGCCGGAGGCATGTAAGAACATCTTTATAGAACATTTTATAAACGCTAAATAACATAAGTTTATACGCATAAAATTCAGGTTATACTCACATCAAAAATCACATCTTAACCCTCATATTTAAGCACAAACATAAAGAAAGCAGTGTATATTTATTACAATAACATAGATTTCAAAATGGCAAAAGCTATTTTCACTGTCAACATGCAACCAAAGAAGTTACGCAAGTTCTATAAACATTAACCTGCTTTTTATTTTCATTGATCCGGACTATCATTTTTAATTTCCAAAACCCATTATTATTTTAGATAAAACCATTATTTATTTGGACGTAATGTTTGGAAACTGCCATAAGTAGGTAGGTTTAGGTAGGTTATCTTTGTACCGTATATATGTTTAAGGTAAAAAAGGGTACAAATATACATTTTATTATAGGTTAGTAATAAAATATGCAACTTGTTTATATTTTGACATAATAAGTAATCTGTTTCTTTGAATTGGTAAATTTATATACCTATATACCTTAACGCAAATATGGTATTTCATTAGAAAAATATCCAAGTACATAAGTAGTTTTGTATTTATGTATTCGAGAAGTTTGTTAAAGATTTATGAAAAGAGTATTTTTCTTGTCTTTTGAATTTGTTTTTAATTTGCAATTTGTTAAATTATATTATAAAAAAAAATGTTATATGCGTTAGTTTAGGTAAATCTTTCAAATATTTAAATTCATATTCAGTTCTCCATACCTAACAAATGCTATTTAGGACACTCATACATCTTATTGTGATTCAAATATATATTGTCTTCAGTCATTAATTCTTATAAGGAAAAAAAACAAATAAATATAAAAATTTATGAGTTTTTTTCAATGTACCTTTACATATATATATAAATTGTCAACAATCCACCGCTGCCAGGATTCGAACCTGCACCTTCCAGGTAACGCGCCCAAACGCCCTAACCAATAAGATAAACGGTGGATATATTCATAACGCGAAAATATCGACGAAGCACACCACCAGCTTAGTGGTTAGAGCAGGGCCGGATTTGGGGGTCTGGAGGCCTCGGGGCAACAAAGGAGTGGAGGCCCCTTGCCCCCAAAATTATTTTCTATTGATTTCTGTTAATATATTTTAATTGTCAATATATTTTAATAAATATAATAATCATATTTGTATAAAGTACTATAGGTATAAGTAAAACGCGAAAAAAGATATCCAAGGTAAAGTAGTTTACTACTCTGAATTTGAAATTTTTTTTCCGAACTCTCTATTGTAGAGGTCCCTCGTTTGTGGAGGCCCCGGGCTGTTGCCCCGGTTGCCCTCCCCTAAATCCTGCCTTAGATGGGCCTGGGTTAGAAACATTGAGCAATTTTGTCTTTCAATGCTAGCTAATTACTTTCTAAATATAACTAAATATGTACCTTTTTACACACACAGACACACATTTATATTAGCTCCATTTCCGTAAAACTTACAACATTTTCAGAAGTATGAAATAAGAAAAGTAGTTTCACTACTAACTCATTACAAGAAACATTGTTGTTCGATAGACTAAGTATCGATTTCTAACGCCCTCATCCAAAGAGTTAATACGAATAAAGGTGCATCCGATGATTGGAATTGGATATGTACTTTTATTCGTATGACTTACTTTACTTGTTTAGATACATTAAACGACGGTTATTGTCTATGCATTCACATAACCTTCTTTTGGGTGACTTTAGACCGAGGCTCAACATTTTTTTATCTTACCTAAAGGATGGATGGCATTCGCGTGGAAAAGTTAACAGGGAAAGAAAAATCCACTAGGGAATAGGTAATATCGAATTAAGCTTTTATACTTAATTCGATAATGAAATGAAGAACGGAAAAATTTTTTATTTAGCAAATTACATTAAAGTAAAAAAGTAAAGTAACAAAGGAGGGGAGGAGAGGAGGCCTTTCCCCACTGCTGGGCAAAGGCCTCCTCTATACAGAGAGTATAAGGGCATAGTCCACCACACGGCCCCACTGCGGATTGGCGGACTTCACATTTTCGAAATACATTTTTTTTTGTTATTATTTCGAAAATAAGCAGGTTTCCTCACGATGTTTTCCTTCACCGCGGAGCACGTGATAATTCAGCACTTGAAAGTTAAAAACTTCATTGGTGCCGGCACCGGGGATCGAACTCAGGTTGCTCGAGTATATATTGAATTAAGGCGAACGCCCGGACACTGAGCTATCACGGCTCGTTGATTAATTTAATGTTTATCTCTAATTACATTACAAGAGAAAATAAATCTCAAAACCTATATAAACCAGAAATGTCACCGCGCAACACCAAAAGCCGGGTCTGAAAGTGCCACGGCACTGGTTTCCTGCGGCTGTCTTGTCTGTCTGGCCTGGTCCACAGACTTCCATAGGCATGTTAACAAGTAAATCTCACAACGGAATTTCGACACCACACGCCATCTCGAATGAATGATGTGAGGGTTTTTTTTTTATGTTAGAAAGTGGCAAGCGAGCTGGTGGTTCACCTGATAACCGCCGCCCATTGATATTTGCAGCACCCGTAAGGTTGCAGGTACATTGCCCCTTTTTAATAAAGTGGGCCCCGGCTACCGCACTTACCAGAACGCAGAAGTGTTACACTTCTATTTCACGCCGGTCTTCTGTGAGGTCGTGGTACTTCCCCGGACGGGCCTGCCCATTCGTGCAACAGTAAAGATTTTTGCGTGGCCCTACCACAGTTAAGGATGCAAGTGTATAGTCCGACGGCTTTGACTCGAATTATTTTATTGAAGTGCCTTTCGACACTTCTTTAAAAAGGTAGATTTGTTTGTTTTGTAATGCATCCGCGACTCTACATGAAATTGCTGTATAGCCTGAAGGTCCCAGATACCGAGCCATAAAATAAAAAATATGATATCGCTGTTTAGTGTGTGTGGTGTACTGTCCCTATATTATTAGGAGTGAACTCTAGTATGTTAAATCGAGTACCTGTTACGGCTGTTCCTGTTTCTTAAAAGTAATAGTGACAAACACCTGTTACAAAGATAACAACCTGTTATTTCATAATGTTCTGACATTTTGTGTAACAGTTACCATAGATAAACATACTGTAACAGCTGTAACTTCCGTACTTCTCACTATAACAAAGCTATAAGACCAAGAAAAAGGAAGAGCTTGTGACAGTGACAGTTCAGTAACTACTGTGACAGGCTGACAAAGTGTAACATAGGCATGAGATATACCTGCAACATTCTATACCCGGCCTCAAAGGTACGGGTATCGCCGTATACCCGGTGCTAAAACCCAGTATCAAAATACCTATAGGTATTAGTTATGTTCAGGCCTCATTTTGGAGACTCGGTCGAATCAAACGAATTGAACCTTTGGTTGGAATTGGAACATTTAGATGTTTTTTTAGCAATCAGTTTTTTTTAATTAAGATTTAATCAGTCTAAAATAAGCTCCATCTTTACTAACGTAAAGAACTCTATTATCAAAAAAAAGTAATTCAAAATAAATATTACTGTTTAACCTTATTACGCAATTATTTATCTACCTAATTGTCATAGAAATAAAGAATAAATTTATCTCAAGGAATTATTTCGTATAAAATGCCTAAATCATACGTTTAAATTCGGGCATGATCGGGAAGAGCCGCCGTAAGCGTTCGGGGAACTTCGTACCTATTCGGCCGGCGGGTTGTCGCGAGCGTTATATACCGCCACCGGGTACCGTACATACCCGGTGTGCATACTGGTATGCTCATACTGGGTATTTATACCTGTGCCAGTATATACGCCTCATCCCTAGTGTAACAGTTTTTATCTCTTTCCAACTAAGTTTACGGTCGTAAGTATGATTAAGAAAAGCTTGTGACAGCGTGTTAAGGAGCAATTTGTGTAGAACAGGAACTGTTATTTAAGTTTGTTCGTAATAGGTAGAGTCTATTATCTCGAGATACCTCTTATATTAACATGTTAATAAATACGCCTCACTCCTACCCTATATTATCTATAATCATTTGGCTTAAAGGTCTTGTTACCAGGCCATAAAATCTTTTTTTTTAAATCTATAATAATTGCTGGCTGTCATAACATAACCTGAAATGACCTGAAATCTGAAACGGTTTATGATCACAGATTAATAGTATGTCCTTTTTTTGATTTTATTTTGAAGTGGAAAAGAAGAGGCGTAAATACTTTAATATTATGGTTATTCTTGATACAATGGAAAGTTTGGGAAGTCTAGAAGAACAAGCATTGAAAAGGAAAGAAAGACTTAAAAATTTAAAACGTAAAAATCCATCAGAAGACACTACTTTATCAAATGAACCTAAAAGCGAAGCTGTTGTACTCCCTAAGTAAGTGAAAACAAAATCACATCATAGCACATGCCCGTTGATTGCTTTTATTTTAAGGATTTTTTTTTGTTTTACTAGAGTATCAACTTCGTAATTGCTCTTTTTTACAGCTCAAATTACGGCCACGTATCTGCCGCTACCGCACCGTTTTAATCAGTTATAATTTCTTAACTGTTTGAGCTGAGTCAAGAATCATTGGCTATGAGTATTGGCAAGATCACAGTCACTCCCCATTTTACTACATTAGATACCAACAGTCATAGGCAAAATGCAAAGTTATAAATACTTGTAATCCACTAGATTCTTTGGTACCGCTATGGTACTTCTCTGATTGAGCATATTAATCCATGCTTTGGCAAAAGTTTCCTACTAAAATCAATGTCCAAATGTAATTGTTTTTATGTTTTAGGCCAAAATTCAGAAGTTATAGACCACAAGATGAAACATTACAAGAAGCAAAACTTGAGGATGCAGAGCCAGCTGTTGTGGACAATGAAGTAAAAGATTTGCTTGAAGCTGGCAAAGAAAAGGTATTCTCATTTTAATTATTAATACACCACAAACATTTGTTACATGTTGTTGTTATTTTATCTAAGAGTTACTAAGTACCATCTATATGCTGATGTTTTGCATCTCTACTCACAAACAAATATTAATTGTATTTGTAGCGGTGAACATGATTAACAGATACCTATAAAATATTGTTTGTCTGACAGATTAGGTCTCTGTTTATCTATTAAGGTGTTATGCCATTGCAGTAGGGTGTGCATAGTCTCTTGCATCAGGGGATGTTATAATATTATTTTTATCAGTATATGTATTAAAAGCTTTGCTTAATTAGGGACTAGATAATGTTGTATAAATATTTCATGAATTATTTATTATATGTCATATATTATATACTTCTTTTAGATTCTAGCCAGCATCAGAAAATGTTAAATCATATTAAGCATCTCTAAATTGAAACTAGTGTAAATAAACAGTGCTTAATATTTTTGTTAATCTTTTTTGTAGGTTGTATTACAAGACTTGGATATATCCAGCTTAGCGCCAAGAAAGCCAGATTGGGATCTCAAAAGGGATGTGGCAAAAAAACTTGAAAAACTTGAAAGGAGAACACAGAAGGCAATTGCTGAACTTATTTGGGAAAGGTTGAAGCAGGGATCTGATGACAATCTAGGAGCAATGGTTACAATGACCAACAAACTACCTGATGATGATTGATATTCCTATCAGACAATAAATAATTATGATAGGTATTCATCTCATCAGTAAATTAGTCTATTTTATGGTTGCTTTTTTTTTACAACTTCTTATGACGGTCTCATAAAATAGCTTTATTTCACTATGTGGGATATTTGTGTGAATAAAAGTAGTCATTTGATTTTTTCATTTATATTTAATAATTATTAGTGGTCGCCTAGTGGTCAAAATTCGACCATAATTAATTATACATGGTAGAATGTTTTTTTATTGATTTAATATATTTTTATGAATGTTATAAAAAAAAAACAATAGCATTCTGCACTCCTCTAAACTATAAGTGTGGTAAATTTCAAACTTCTCCTTCTGCGCAATTTTCTTAAAAAGCGGTACAAAGTTTTTGCTTCACATATTAATCAGATAGAATTTTCTACTTTAATTATAGAATAAAATATTTGTATATCTGAACTATTTAACATAGCATGGCTATGAACTATCATACGAAATTTAGCTTGGACTGTCTTAATAAACTATCATAGTTATCATCATCATAGTTATCATCAGCTAAATAAACAAATTATTGCCAATTTGCTTATTTAGCTGGCCTTTGCAAGAATTATGATATTTCTGTTTTTAAACTCAAAGCAGAAGGCCAATATATTAATTATAATGAAATCCACTTGCACACCTTGGGAAAAACTTTCAATAATGCTTCATTACTGTACCAATTTCTAGTCTGGGTATGAAAACAAGTGTATTCCAAATTCAAAACTTTTGTTTTTTAAAGTAGGTGATCCTCACTTTTCCATTTTGGGGCTTTGTACTTACTTTTCGAGGGTTTGCGGTTAAAAGATTAACTGGTAACTAAAACTAACTTCTCGTTATTTTTAGTAGAGCAATTTATGTTTGTCGCATAATCCGGCCTTATTGTGGCTTAAAACAGATATCTTTGTGTCTATTGTTATGGCAGAAAAATCATTAGGAGCTATCAAAATCATATCACTGCTGGAAGAGGGGCGTAGCCAATGTTAGGTCTCACAGCGGTTAAACGTGACTCGTGCAACCGTCCAAAGAAATTAGACTCGATACCAAGAAACAGGTTCCGTTGAGAGAAGGCAAGACTGAGACAAAAAGTTGCAAACAACCACGAGACGACCGCTTTTTAGTGACTCATGACTCTGAAGAACCGCAAATGCAGTTACATAGACCTCGAAACAAATCTTTAAGAGGTACTTACGAGGAGCACAAGTCAGCCTATGGACTGTGAGAAGGAGGCTTTTAGCGGCTGATAGCTGATATACGCAGTCGACGACCAGCGCGGGCCCCAAAGTTACTTCGTGAGCACCACATTGCTCGATCGCGGTTCGCTGGAAATTTCCTATCTTGAGTACCGGATATCTAGACTCGACTCGAGTGTACTGTTTTCTAATGAGGCTCGAATTAGTCTTTATTTTGAGGACCGACGTCGACGAGTGTTACGAAGACCAGGGTAACGCTATGTCGACGTGTTTTGAAGAAATCACCCCTTATAGTGGAGCGGAAGGTCCGTTCTGTTTTGGGCGGGCGTAACTTCCAGCTACCGCACCGAGATAGTATTCCTTGAAAATGGCTCACTAATTGCGCAAAGAAATCTAATAATACATAAGAAAAATCCCTTGTCAGTATGTACAACCCCCACTGACTGCAATCGGTGAAGATGCCACTTACATGGACGATAAATCTCGAGCCCACCGCTCAGGCGTCCCAAGAGGTAGTAATCGTCGTTTGAATTGGCCAGCGTGGAGTTCCGACCTTAAACTGAGTTTCATTGAGCACGTCTGAGACCTAAAAAGGCGAGTACGATCTGTTCAACCACCTCCACAAATACATCAGGGAGCGTAAACGTGTTATCTCGGCTGAGTGAGAACATTCAAACACCATTCCACGACACCATCAAGCCTGGTGGGATAATGCTTCAAGACTTGCCGTTTTCATGCTCGTTATTAATTTTCATTTTTAATGTCTTTTTTTTATTAAAAACAAAAATACCATAAAAATACTCTTTTTAATTTAATTATACCTATAAAAATGTCCAGTGTAAAAAAACTACTTCCCATAGATAATAAGAAATTTCTACTTTTCTAAGCTAAAAATATTCCATATAAATATTATACATAGAATGTAAGGTGCTCGTTTTTTTGCAAATAATTCACTCCGTATTTGTTCCAGGTAAGAATTGAACCTACAACAGCTACCTTACGGCTACTTTTCAAGTAATCCCAACTAATTTATCAAACAATCACTTGATGCATTTTCCATAGATGGCGCTAGTTGTAAGACCATAAATAAAGTTCTGTATAAAAAAAAATTATCTTTTCGAATACAAAATTATTAAATGAAACTAAAATAATCCATTTTCTTACAATCTACGATTCCATGTAATCCATAATTAATTTGTGTTTTCTTCCATTTGATATCAATTAATTAGAAAATCACTGGGTTTTGTTTTTGTTTTATTGTTGATTGAAAGAATAGAGTCGTTTGGAAACATCCTGTAGACATCAAAAAGAAATTTCCAACCGGAAATGTTCGATTAACATTCATACTACAGCAGTTATTTTAACTCACGGCCGAATGAATTTTTCTCCGATATCATTGCATAAAGAAATTTAGCAACATAATAGAAAATATGGATGTAGCCTTAGGAGTAACAACATTAAAGAAGGAAATATGAAAATCATTTGCACACATTTACCGGTTATCTCGAATTACTGTCTTAAATTAAGACTAATTGATAAAAACTATTCATTGATCCACTAAGAGGCAATGTTTTATTGAGTATATAATTTTGACTTTAAACCATGAATGGTTTCGACTTTCGTGTTCAAGTAAATGAAACAACTTAAATAAGACGCTGTTGTAGTGTTTTAAGGAAAGATAAACCATCTCTGTTTTATAAAACATTCATTACACTATTAGGCTTTCGATATCATTATTTTATCGTACATCTTAATAGGTACATGTTATCTTACACTGTATTTTAATTTCCGTATTAGACAGCATTTCACTAAATAACATTGAACGTACATATAGTAATAAAAATCTTAATTTTATCATATTGCCCCTGAAGCAAATTTTCGTCCAATTATAATAAATTCATATAAATTTCGCATGTTTTCTTGACGTAGAAACATTTAATGCTCGTTTCCTATTAAATGTTATATTGAATTTTATTAGGTGTTAACTAACATGTACATAGTATCACAGGTTATTGGATAATATTTATATATTTTTACATCTAAATCACATTATTTATTGTTTACTTTTTTCGTCTTAAATTACTGTTATTAGTACTTAAATTATTTATATAAGGTACACGAAACAAATAGTAATAAAATACAAACAAAAATTAAACTTATTTGGAATATCTGTAAAAATAGAGTAGCATGTCTTTTAAATTAATACAATATTGTTAAAAGACTCATAGTCTATATCAACGAAGAGATTACCATTAGACTAATTACATAATACACACTGGCCATTAACACACAGCTCCTGTTGTGACCCCTTTTTCTTCTCTGTGGGTTGTTTTCGTCCGGATCGTCGATTTCATTGTAACCGAAATATTTATTATCTATGTTGTAAAACACGACGCGATCACCAATGGGCTGTATCGGCCTAAAATTGTGCCGAATCTTACCCGTCGCAGAACGTAGCTCCCTGAACGCTTCGATCTGAAATGATATGTGCACATATGTATGTGTATTATGATCCCTAGAAGTTTTCTAATTGGTATTATAATATCTATTGTTATGCGTATCTTGAAAATAATTAAGAAATCGAATATGCGAAACTTTGGCAACTATTTTTTGGAAATGGAATTATTTGACTATATGTTTATATTATGTACACCCCGTCAAAATCTGTATATCTAAACAACAATCAACATATTGAATACGTCATTCCCGCCCAAAATTTGGGCACAAAAGCTTATATCAAGAGCGAAAAACTTTTTAATTCCAAAAAAGGTGAATATTCGCCCCAAAGTTCTTTATACAACTACCTAGCCATATAATCGGAGTCTAGTTGTCCTTGCGTCAAAATCTAACATAGTTATACAGCGTGTCGTTACAACCGCGACAATAAATGAACGCACATATAGAGGATGACTTTTTTAAATTGTATTAAACATTTACATTCTTTAAACATCAATATTTACCGAGTTATTAAATTTTTCAAAACAAACAATTTTGGAACAGCCTTACGCATAAAAGTGTAACGTAAAGTTCATTATAAAGGTCACAAACCATATGAATGGGTTGAATGAATTTAAAAGAGATAAAACATACTGTTAGAAGGAGAGATTTGTAATGCGACGCTGTGGCAACCAACGAAAAAGTCTCTGAATGTATGAATCAGTCAGTTGTAGTTGTATAAGTGTTAAAAAATTTGATTGGTTTTTTAATTTAATAAGTTTGAAAAAAAAAAGAATTATGGATTTTTTTAAGTTTATATTTTTTTTTTATGATTATTGGCAAGTAGCGTTAGACGTGTGTTCATTTATTGTCGCGGTTGTAACAACACGCTGTATAATCATTTTGCATTCGGATAAGTTTGAGATGCATTGCTCGGGTAAAACTGGGACACGTGTAAATGGCCGGTGATAATATGCATTCTAAAGCCCGGTTTCTGAAACACTGATCATCGTAGAAGTTCTTTAATCAGCTGTCAAATGACTTTTCAAATGTTATTTAAGTTTCTAACTGGATGGTTAAACTCTCTGAATTGATCAGAATGATCTTAATCATCCGAATGATCAATTCAGATAGTTTAACCATACTTTTGGCAACTTAATAACATTTTATCAGTGTTTCAGGATGTAAATCTCGTTCAGCTACGCACCTGGTCGTGAGCGAGCCTGATGGGCTGTTCGAAGTCGAGCCAAATCACGACTTCGGAGCAAGGCGGGGTGGTGAGCGAGCCCCTGTACGTGAAGTAGCGATTCAAGTCGTACGGCAGTATGTTGAGGAAGGAGAAGGGGTGGCTCATCGCCGCACTCGAATGCGGCTCCGTTACGTTGGACAGCGCCGAGGTGATGTCGTCGTAAGCCGGGTGCTGGTGCCGATCGAGCTGGTGAACGATAGACGTGTTTTTTTTTATTCAGGCCCGTTCCGAACCCATAAACGGCCATGATATACCACGGATGTACATACTACAGTGTTTTTTTTTATTCAGGCCCGTTCCGAACCCATTGACGGCCATGATATACGACGGATGTACAATACTATCGTGGTTAGAAGCAATCGCAAAGGAATTTTGCGGTCGTCAATATTTCCATTTAGTACCCAGGTGCGGAATTAAGGAAGTGAAAACTATGAGCTATTAATTTAAGAAAAAACTAGGGAATCACATATTTTTTCTACTTTACTTACCGGGACGGTAAGTAAAGTAACCGACGTCCACCGTCTTAAAGGTTCAAGGCAACTGGCTGAAGGTAACCACTTAACATGCGATGAACCGCCGGTCCGTTAACCTCTCGTTGAAAAAAATAAAGGAAAATGCCGGAAAGTATTTACATATATTAAAACAATGTAAGATTGTTCACGTGATGCTGAAGTTTTATCGTAAATTTTTGGACACAAAATATTATATATATTTAGCTGAATATTCATTACATGGACGTATCCCTTACATAGCAGCATGTCAAATATTAAGTAAATCTGACTAATCATTTTAAAAATTACTAAAGTTTAAAAATTCTGAGATGCGGTTTCCTAAATTGCTTGAAGGCAAAAAATTTCACTGTTTTTCTTATTGTTATATAATGATATATATATATATATGAATAGCGATTTTAACAAAATTTATTCAAAACAGCATATCTATCTACTTAAAGGCAATTAAACCTTATTAATATTGTGCTCGATTGAGTAATACACACACAACTAGTAACCCAAATACAACATGTGCTTCGAAGATATTAATCTAAATCAGGTGATGTGTATTAAACAGGTAATTTGAGCTATGAGCAAAAACAACGTGGAATGACGCCACCATATGTTTTGCAATTTGGCGGGAAAGTTCATAAACCTCATTGCGTCGAAAGTGGGGTGACGACACGCTTCAATCTGCGTAATAAGTCTTCGGAACACGTATTTGTCCAAAAAAGTTCATAAAGCGGACTGTTCCCAAGTTAATGTCCGTTTGTAACTTAAAATAAATAATAAGTAACAATTTACGACTGTTTCCTTAAATATCTTTGTCGGATATATTAATAACTATGTACAACTCCATAGGACGGTATTAACATATCTGACAAAAATATTCTCTTCAATTTGTCGTTGTTTAATAGTTTCAAAGAGAACAAAGGCTCTATTTTTTCTCTATCACCTCTATTTTTCATGAAATATAAAAACAATAGATTTCACAATCCATACACATCTGCATTTAGGATCCCAAACGTATAAAAAAAGAATAAGTTTTATAAAAGGACTACGTTCTAAAGAAGAAAGCGTGCATATGATGGTAAATAATTGCCCATAGACATTCCCAACAGGAGACCAGCTGTCCGCACTTAAAGCAGTCTTCAATATTCAGGAATACGTGTAATATACAGCCTTAGCATATGTATGCTAATGTCAATTCGTAATATTTGTTTAACATAGATTGGGTAAGCAAACAAGCAATCTATGTCTTTTGAAGTTTTACAAGAGATTTGGGCTATTTTAAGTACTGTACGTAGAAAATATCGGAAGAAGAATGCATTAGTATTTAATGTTTTGATTATTATACTTTTTTAAACTGCACTGCACAGAAGTATTTAAATAGTAAGTTTCAGATTATTTATAAAGTAATCTAGAGTCGAGTGCTCTGTAGAAATTAAAAATCAGCGCCTACTACTTTACCAAAGTCAGACGTTCAAGTTAGTAAACTGACTTATAGTATTTTGAATTCCATACTTACTAATCGACTAAATAAAGTTTTTCATTTTGGATAATGAATGGGAAAAAAAATTGTCTCAGATTTAAACACGCCAGTCGCGTTATTAGCATATCTTTTCATCCTTCAAAATGAACCATATTGCGTGCGTGTGAAAATTTTAAATGTGGAACGCTATTGTGTTAGCCCGAATAATAGGTACCTCATAAAAGAACGCGAGGACTGTTAAGCCGTCGGAGTGCTTGACCGCCTCCTTTGCGGACATGTACTCTTCTTTGAAGAACACCATGTGAAGCTCCATCGGGAAACTGAAACGAAACATTGTGTTATTTTTTTTATCCGAAAACTGGCCAGTGCTTGACTAAAGATTTGTGTTTTTTTATCCAGTGGCCAGTGTTATCAAGATGTAAAAAATATTTAATCTAAACGCGTGTTATGAATGGTAGGACATAATTATATAATGTATGAAGGTTATTCACACTTTAAGTGCTACCATTTATTCCACGTATGAAGTTAAGGTCGCGTTCATTTTTGTGACAATGGCCAACGTTGTACTTCCTTTAACGTTTTAGGAAAATGCAACACGTTTGATAATAGCGAAGTGGGCTAATCATAATTTAGCTCTAGGTCATGCGCTTATCTTAGCGTTTGATGTTGGATGCTAATTATCATGTTATATTAAAAAAGTCGTTAATGGCAACGGACTAACACGCAGGAATGAACTGCCGAATACGATGAAATCTTGTACTTGTCCGTTATATCAACTCATGGTCGGTTTTAACCGAATAATCAAATAATTAGACTGTTGTTGTTGTATAAACGAAAGGCCTCTATGAGAAGATGGCGAATGAAATGGCCGGTAACCTGATAATAAGTCTGCACACCGAAAACTTGTAGGATTTCAACTACGTCATCAACCTTAAGGGGATTCGTTCGCCCAACTCAACAGACGAAATATTAGACTTTGATTCTTTTACTTTACGCAGACGCTGGTCTCTTGAGAAGAATATGTATTATAAAAATAAAATATTAACGACAGTTTAACTATATACAGGTAGATACTCTTGAAATCCTTTCCCTTATATGCCATGTGAACGAACACCCAAATCCGAAAAATTATCTGAGGGTCATACAAATACTCGTCTCGTGTGGGAATCGAACCCACAACTCCAGGCACCCCATACCTTGGTAACTGCCCCACAAAGTCATCATTATGTATACTCTTGTATTGTATTTGAGCATGTATTTTGAACCCTTCGACGTTGTATCATATGTTTAAACAAACCAACTAACACTTCTTGATGATTAGAAGAAGTATAGAAGTCTAGAAATATGCACATTGACAGAAAAAAGCGTTAATAGTCTTCACACTTTTTGTCGTGTCTCTTTCCTTTGTCGTTTATTTCAATAGAACGGAGCGATGTTTCCTTTTGTCACTTACAAAAGAAAATTATGAATAAAAATGTTATCTAAGCCAATGTAGCGTAAAAATCGATAATGTTTTTGAAAAAAAAATAAGGTCTATGTTTCATTGATAAGAATAGAACAAATGAAAAACGTCCTTTCGAATCTAATAATATGTTTCCTCTGAATCAGAGTACATTTAAGTTTCAAACTTTTGCATTTTAAGTTTATTTGAGATACATGTATTTGTCTGTTAATCAGTCATGAAATATATATACATATATATATATATATATATATATATATATATATATATATATATATATATAATAATGTAATAATTTACGTAACAACATAGAAAATAAGGAGAAATACATTGTACATTTAAAGTTCGCAAATCGTAATGACGTCTATATTTTACACATGCATTTATGTTGAATTATATTATGAACCATTATTATTGTTTTATTGAATATAATAAATAATTCAATAAAAATATATTACACTAGCGGACCCAATAGACGTACATGCTACTTAAATCCGACAACAACTTATAATTAAAAAAAAAAATTGTGAATCTAAACCATTCTCGAATCGACCTGAATACACACAAATAATTTCATTAAAATCCGTCCAGCCGTTTAGGAGGAGTTCAGTGACAAACACACATACAGAAGAATTCTTCTGTACGTGTGTAAGTGTGGTTTTTATTTATCTTTATATACTTATGTTAGCTATACTTGGTTTTATCGAGCTAAGAAGGTAGAAATATAAATACTTTTACCAAATCACCGTAGTTTCACTTTGCACAACAATAACACTGGTATAATTACTTATTTTATCACATTAATATCACTAATGAAACACCACTAACAATTTAATTTCTGATACCGATTGGGCAGCACTATCGCGTATACTTCTTGTTGACAGCCAGAGAAAGACGAAGATCACGATGAAGGCCATGAAATGCTTCTTGCAGCTTCATTTATACCCCATAGAATGACACTTCTTTTTGTATTGCCAACAACCTCAGGAATGACTTCCTTTAGTGTTGCCAACACGGCCCTCCTGCACTGTGCATGTCCCAGGCACAATGCAAAACCAGTCGCCGGGAACAAACATGACAGAATTAACTGAAAACAATATCTTGTTTATAAACATTACTGCTCGGCCATTCCTTTCCTTAAATCCTTTCCAGAAATTCCACTACGTTGAATTCTATACGATTCGCTTAGTCTTATAATACTTTTAAGATATTCTAATTGTCTAATGGAAAACGTTTATTCTAGAAAACCCAAAGGAAACTGTTTCTAAATCGTCTGTAACACAAACTACTCTCGGCATAAACTGCCTCGCAAAAATAAAAAGCATTATTAAATAGATTGTACCGGATAACCATAAACATTGTCTTTAGGCTTAGACGATGTTTAACGAGTTTCATCACTCCCTTAATCCGGCGTAGCGCCTGTTCCAGTTCACACCTTTAGTCTTAGGTAGAGACTGCTTCAGCTCACTACTCCGATTCTGGTGAGTGAGACGATGTTTAACCAGTTTCATCACTCCCTTAATCCGGGGTAGCGCCTGTTACAAGTTCACACCTTTAGTCTTAGGTAGAGACTGCTTCAGCTCACTACTCCAATTCTGGTGAGTAATACTGTCACCTCTGGGTTATCCACTACATGCTCATCACTCCCAGTTCACACCTTTAGTCTTAGGTGAGACTGCTTCAGCTTACTACTCAGATTCTGGCTAGAATTACTGTCACCTCTAGGTTATCCACTAGCTGCTCTTATAATGCTGTTAAGACAACAGTTAATGGGCTTATAAAATTAACTGTAAAATTTTATACTTGCCAGCACGCTTCAATTATAAACTATAAGCAATATAACATCCCAGTTATCAATCTTAATCCACAGTTTCATGTATTTCCATTTGATCGCCACTCACACCAAACCTTAGCAGACCCTTTAAGCTTATTAAAGGTCTGATAACGTAACATACTATGATTCCACGAAAACTTTAATGCATACGATTCTATTACATTAATATATTTTTTTCATTACTATACTTTACACTCGAGGGGCGCGAATACAAACCACACACAAGACTTAAATCCCGCTTCTGATGTTAGCTAAACTTGGTTTTATCGAGCTAAGAAGGTAGAAATATAAATACTTTTACCAAATCACCGTAGTTTCACTTTGCACAACAATAACACTGGTATAATTACTTATTTTATCACATTAATATCACTAATGACACACCACTAACAATTTAATTTCTGAAACCGATTGGGCAGCACTATCGCGTATACTTCTTGTTGACAGCCACAGAAAGACGAAGATCACGATGAAGGCCACGAAATGCTTCTTGCAGCTTCATTTATACCCCATAGAATGACACTTCTTTTTGTATTGCCAACAACCTCAAGGAATGACTTCCTTTAGTGTTGCAAACACTTATATAAAAATAAATAAAAACCAAGATTTTCGTCGGTGTGGCAATCAGCCGTTTAGCTCAGTGGCTAGAGCGTCAGGCCGCGAATGCCGAAGACGTGGGTGCGATTCCGACAGCGGCGACAATGTTTTCGCACTTTTTCTACATATTTTAATGTTCAATCTCAAGTGCAAAGATTAGCACTATAAACAATTTAAATTTCTAAAAAAGCAATGGTGACATCTCTCGTTCGAAAAGATTAGCACTATAAACAATTTAAATTTCTAAAAAAGCAATGGTGACATCTCTCGTTCGAATTATCGTTGTAAAACGATATTCGAAATTGTTTGTATGCTGGAAAGGATATAACAATAGAAGGCGCCAAGCATTGCTTCAAATGCTAAGAAAACAATGTAGAAGAATGCGTTAAGATTTTCGTCGGTGTGGCAATCAGCCGTTTAGCTCAGTGGCTAGAGCGTCAGGCCGCGAATGCCGAAGACGTGGGTTCGATTCCCACAGCGGCGACAATCTTTTCGCACTTTTTCTACATATTTTAATGTTCAATCTCAAGTGCAAAGATTAGCACTATAAACAATTTAAATTTCCAAAAACCACACTTCTGCATGGAAGTAATGTCTTTACGAAAGAATAAGAATTACCTTCTGTGGTTGATCTTGTCCTCGGAACCGAAGGTGTCGTTATCGCCCCAGTGGAAGTGCATCTGGCTGAAGATGTAGTCCCCATCGAGAGGACCTCCGCTGACACGCGGATGCGGTTCGTTGTCCACTTCGATCAGAACTGTTGTAATTGCATAACATTAACGATATGATTACCTCATCTTTATCTGAGAATGGTTTCGATCGTCTTATATTTATGTCGCTGAAAGCCTTTTTAGTCTTAAGGATTTGAAATTTCGTGTTCTTGTGTCATACGGACAGTATTAAAAAAGTCATTTACGAGTTTAGACCAGATTATAAACTTTAATGTACAAACATTTCACTAATACCAAAAGCATTACATTTACAAAAAAAAAAAAACGAGTGCGTGTAATCTTTCACGAACTCTTTTGAATCACGCACGCGGTTGAAGTAATACTAAAAGAAATCTTTAAAACCATTATTAATATATTTTTATTTTTTTCAATGTAGGTATAGTTCATATACATACAGCGTAAATATTCTAAATTCTGTTGCATTGTCGTCGTCCAAAGCATTCAGTTAAGCTTTAGTCGCGCCTAAAGAAATTTTACTTGAAAAATACAAAAACTTGGAATGTTATGCCATGTGGTAGTAAGTGGCAATGGTGTCGTGGGTGGTTCAATCACAATCACAGTGAAAGCCTATTTACACAAGACCTATTTATTAGACGGCTAACAAATTATTCTACGCCTTTGCAATGCTCATTTCTAAACACCAAGCCCACCTCTTCACAATAGAAGTATTGAGCCTCTAATAGGCCGGCGGTAAATAGGGAATTAAGGCATGTAGTTTCGTACCTATTATTATAATAGCTGTGCCTACATCCCTACCAGTACGAGTATTTCGCTATAGTAAAAATATCGATATTATAACAGGGGTGTTGCTGTTATTTTTTGTGATAATAGTAATAACCACCGCCTATAGACATGTCTTGAAGCATTGCAGGTGTATTGGGCTCCGTGGAACTTTACCAGTGGGTAGCCAGTACATTTTTGCTGCAACAGAAAATCCATCGTGTTTCAATGTTTACAGTCGCCCTTAAAATTGTAATAGAGGAGACTCGGCTTAGCAGATCAATTTTTTTAACATTTTCCGTAGTTTAGGATAGCATTATCCTGTGTTGTTATTTATCTATTACCTAAATGCGAAACAATTATCTATGGATCATACAAATAGTCCCGTGTAGGAATCGAACCCACGACCCCCGACACCAAACCCAATACCTTGGCAATTACTCCACGGAGTCATCAATGTAGGTACTAGTATTAGTACATTTCTACGATATAAATGAGACGAGTGGAATGCTATTGAATAACTGTGCAGCATACTAACCCGTGTGTCCGTTGTTAGTAACATGAACGTCGTCAATGGAGTCGTCGAAGCCTACGAATGTAATATCGGGCAGCGCCACTTGCTTCACTCGCAGGACGTTGATATCTATGGGACTTTGATGCTTGCCCGCACATTCCTGATACCGCTCACCCCAATGCGTTGGCCCTGTAAAATACCTTTGTATTCTAAACATTTGTTACAAAGCCTTAAAAATCACCTTATTTTAACCACACTATTTTTTGTACATGTTTTCCATGCATCAGTTATTAGCAAGCGCGCGACGCTTTTTTTTACTTAAATTATAATAAAATGATAGTAAAAGATCATAATAAAGGACAATAAGATGAAACACACATATAGTACATTCATATGTGAATGTTTTTCGATTAAAGCGTTGAACAATTTACATATTTAACGTTATAAAATGAAACAAACTAATAATTACGTTGAACAATAAAGTTTTTTTTTTATTAACGCATCATAAAGAATGGCGACTTGATATCACGAGATCGGTTTGGTTTTTATCACAATTTACTCAAATTCACAACGCATTCGCAACAAAGAGAAAGTGGACTGTTCGATATTATTTAGGTCGCTATAGTGTCTAGAGATAGGGACTTAACATCTGGTAACGAGGCAATCTAGCTGGTTTTTCACTTACAAATTGACGTAAATGTAGGAAGCAAATTATAGCTTGTAGTACTGATTGCTACCCGTACTGTAGTAGTTTGCATTAATATTTTCCAGTCCAAATGACAACTGATGCAAAGGTTAGTTTCGTAACACTTTTAAAATTGCCTACTTTTCATTTGAATTTATTAATTATTTTAAAGACGAGAATTTTGTCTTAATTATATGAACTTTTATTATATAAAAATATCATAATCAATACCAAAGTACAGCAAGGAAAGTACTTAGTTTTATTTAAGTCTAAGTTACTAAAGAGACTTTTTAACATTGCATTTACTAGTTACTAAAGCCAATTTTAAAAAGCTGTTTTTTGTGAGGTGAAACCTTTTGAAAAACTAACTACCTTTAGGCTTCTGTTTTAACATTACTTGTCAATTATGTACGTAGGTCATAGAGACCGCATAATTGAAATCGTGTTTTATTACGTTTTAATATCATAGTAATGGAAAATAACTGGGGCATTCATTGGATACGTGCCATAAAGTCCGAGAGTGACGAACGTCACCGTCATCACATATTTTATGAATATAAATAAGTAAAAAAAACTATGTGTACGCATATAAGAAGTTATACTTCTTTAGCGTATCAAAAGAAAATAACTAAAAAGTTTTATCCTTTGTACCAGTACTTTTTGTTTGTGAAAAATAAACATTGAATGCAATTGATAACGGTTTAATTATAGGTAAATGTCAAAAAGTTATTATTGGTTGCCATGGTAATACCGTGAAGTAAAAAGTAATTGTTAGCTTAGCAACCAACTTAATATCGCTTTTTGATTGTCGGCGTGCATTGCCAAAATTTTACTCTCATAATTTTTTCTAAACGCGCCAAAAGAAGTATAACTTCAAAATATTTCATGGCGTATTTTTAAGCAAGTTCAAATAAGTATTAATTATGCATAATAATATTATTATGCATAAATAAATACCCGGACATATGAAAAATTCGAGTAGTGGGGATCAAACCCATACCTTTAGCTGCAATTGACAGTTTCACTAGGTGCCAAATGGGGTCGCATATCAAAATGTCTGAGCTTTTGATTTACAAATAAAAAAAAATCAGTCTATTATATTTATAAATATAATAGACTGTAATGAGGTTTATACTTTTAGCTCGTTAATGGCTCTGAATGCACTAACAGGCATTGCACCATATCAGAATCCTCCATTTACATGTCTTGTTAAAATTTTTAAATCAAAACTCCTACCTATGTTGGTCGCACGTCAGCGAACCTACTAATATATTATAATTTTACGTGATGTTTATAAAACCTATTACAGTATTAGAATTCTTCAAGCGTGAATTTTAGTAAAATGCCAACTTAGATGAATGTACTGCGACCATGCACTCACAAGATTCAAGGCGATTTTCCTAGACCCATACCATTTTTTACATACATACCTATAACTCCGTCGTAGCCAAAATCTTCACCGTTTGCAATATGCACCACTGGAAAAAGGAAAATTAGAATTTTAGCAACGATGCGAAATTATCAGAAAACGAATATCTTATCTTCTTGGATTGAGGTTTAACTGTCAGGAGAATGGCAATATTTCAATACTAAATACGAATTATACACTAATATATTTATATACCAAAACGTTAATAATACCTTATTAATTTTAAAACAAAAAGCCACACAATTTCTTTTAGTTTTATATTGTAACAAATGCATTTCCTCTAAGCCACGTAATACCTACAATTGCTGAATTAATCGATTCAAAATGACAGCTAGTCTGTATTGTGATCGATTGACTTTTATTAGAATCTGTTATGGAGTGAAGATTCACACGGCCCTATCTAACCCGGAGGGACGTATCAAGGTGGCTATCCCACGAGTTCTGTGTTCGATGATAGCTTCTTGAAAACAAAACTTTACCTGATAATTTTTCTTTCAATCCGTAGACTATAATTATAGATTATTGATATACTGTTCATTATTGAAAGTATTTTTTTTATTAAATAAAAAACAAGAACAGCTTCAATTATCTTACTCGCTATTTGATTACAACTCTCTGCTACTCGATATTCGTTTTGAGAAGTTGCCTAATATATCTTCAAAATCCAAAGTGCAATTCGTATTAAATAAAAATGGGAGCAAAAAAAACGTTTTCTTAATCGGTTTATAAATCACAGGCTGAGTTCTCAGGCAACAAATATAAAAAAATACAAGCGAATTCAGAATATCCTCCTTTTTGTAAACGGTTAGAAAAGGAGAAATTCATTCACACGTCATAAATATCATCAGAGATATTATACTGATAAAGACAAAGAAATCAGCAACATAGATAAAAAAACAACAGTCTTAAATAGAAATTTCCTTTAATAACCACTTCCGTACCGTGAAAATGTTTGCATGTGGCTTAGCCCTAATCGTTCACTTGGCGGGAAATTGTTCATTAATCACATCAAGCGGAGTGACCTTTATAATGAAATAAAAGAATGTCAATTAATTTTCATTGGCGACTAGATTTTTTTTATACAAAAAAAGTATTTAAAAGTCGCTATTTTAAATTTGTTTATTCTAAATTAGTGTGACGTTTATAAATAAAAGTAATAGTCGACGACAAAAAACGCGTAATCAAATCTAGCGCTCTACGCGTTCATTTGCATTGCACAGCTTTTTGTTATTCCTCAAATTGAATAAATAAATAAATTTAAAGGTTTTACGCTCTATAAATCAGCTTAATAGTACATAATTAATAAGTGACAGTTTAAAGTCATTGGATTCAAACACAGTCAATTTATTATGAACAACCTGGTTGACCATAAAATACCTATTATCGTTGAGTGCATAACAATATAATAACATATATATGTACAATTTAATGTTTAAAGTCAACGACCATACCCTTTGGAAACGTCCGCCAAATGATTGCTTATTGCAAGAGAAGCGATTCGCCAAAATGAGCCGGCCAAATTCAGCCAAACTATCGGTAACTTTTTACCTCGTTGATCACAGTATAATTTTTTACCTTATTGCTCCAAGCGAGGTGCACATTAATCTTACTTTTTTATGTGGCGCGTTTTTAGTTCACTTGCCGCCGTGTTACCTTCCCTCGAAAACGCGACGCGAATAAACTTGAATGTTATTGTATCTAGATCGCTTTTATTTATTTAATTTTATGCACAGACAAAAGCGGACTAAACGCCAATGGCGTTTTCTATCAGTCAACCTTAGGAAGAGTGGGTTCGGTGCACAGAATTCCTAATGGTCATCAATCGTCAATCTTTATGGTCAGTAATACGTGTGTCCGTATTACGAAAACCCACTTGGATATGAAATACTCCCTTAATTCGATGTGCGTAATCACTTTACGTCAGTATTAAGTGACTTATTTCAGCAAACCGCAACAAGGACGGGAAACACAAGTGAATCCAATGAACTCTGTTTAGTAGGAAGTTTGTACGCATTACTCTTAACTAGCGATTGCATTGTTTATGTAGGCGATAGACAGTTTCCTTATATTTCGCCATAAACAATCATCGTAAGTCATCTCGTCAACGTAGTACAATCCATTGAATAATACTGGCAGAGTCATAAAAAGCGAAATTAAATGCTGAAAGTTCAAAGAAAAGGAAATCTAACAAGCAATTTGCCCATCCCATAACTTAGGTGGATATCATCAGATATATAAATCCCCACATTATATTTGATGTGCGCGCTATGTTGTGTATACATTTAGCTGCATAGCTTAGGTGCACAGTTGCATCCCGCGAGATCACAACGATGATAGTTGCGTCATTATGTGCTATTACCGATCCATGTGTCTCACGATATAATATAACCGGACGAAGACGGACGATCTTTGCGCTATTAGACCGTAATCATCGTTATTTCGAATAATTCACTTTCAAATTCTTTTGTTCTTCGCTAAGCGCGGTCCAGCGAGGCGGTTACGGTTGTCGTTTTGTGGTAAAAGTAGATTGAATTAATGCAATACATTGATGTCGAAATTTATAATAATAAATAACCAACTTTTTTGGTTCAACATAATCACTTCAAAAACATTTTGTTTTGCCTTAATATGCACTTAACCTGACTTAACTAAATTCTACAACAGGTAGCTGATTCTATTTAAAGTCGATGTAGGAACGACATTCTGCCCAATAAATGACATGAAATTACAATTTGTTTTTTAATTTTAGGTAGTTTACCAGTCGGCTACTATTCCCCTTCAAAGGAATTAACAGTTATTCCATCAAAGTGAAAAACCAGCGAAATCTTTCATGCGTTTCTCAACCGCTCCAAATTCGCAGTCGTTGGTTTGTAAGTAAATGCTCTTTGACGATTCCGTTCCGGATTTAGTTATCGCGACACGACACCATTTTATGTGAGTGTACTTTTGGGCATCGGTGCGGTTTTTCGGGTTTCCAACGCGTAACAACGCCCCAAGTTCCTTAGAACGTTCATGGTCCCTGATTCGACCTGCAAATTTCTATAAATATACGATCGAATTCGCTTAATGCCTCTCTATTTATATCGGAGAGTGTGGGTTCAGTCAACCGAATAAACCATTTCGGGCGTATAAACTATGTCTAGATAATAGGGGACAGTTTTATTTGAAAATATTACTTAACAAAGCCTTGAATTATGAAAAATATTATGTGACTAGCGACCTGCCACGGCTTGGTACAATGCTGAATGTTTGTATTCGACATCGTATTAGAAACCTGCCTCTTGAATCACTCTATCTATTAAGTAAAAGTGCATCAAAATCAGTTGCGTAGTTTTAAAGATCTAAGCATATATAAAGACAGAGAGCTAGACAACTTTTTTTATACTAGGTACTGATAAACATAGTCTTTTTGTTAGTATCTGTGTGTTTATATATCTATAATGTGTATTAATGTACAAAAAAAGTATGGCTATTAATTACCTAGTAACCATAGTAAACTTTGCTTAGTTTGGGACCAGCTAAAACCGTTTGGTTTTATAACGTTGTTTTGTAAAAAAATATATCTAGAAAATGTATAGCAGGACTATACATTTCTAGATATATTTTTTGAAATGTCTGAAATGTCTTTAAATAATCTCTTCATACTTTATTAGCTTACAGTCTTCAGTCAAAATTTTAGAAGCTCTCACGTTTCACCCACCTACAAGGGCTACCACTTATTTCTTCATTTCTCAAGTTAGTCGACCTTGCTCAAATTTGTTACACTAGCATTAAACAACTGCTTTAGAAGGGAATTTATGCATTAATGCAATTTTACGCTTGTAACATAATTCATCGATTAAAAAGACAAATTGCAATAGCGGAAAAATCGAAATAAAATTCGTTGTTTCTTGACTTGGTGTTTCTTTCGTATATTTTTAAATTACGCGTTTAACTGTCTACTATTACTCGCTAATAATTAAAAACATACTCTTATAACGGTTAATTTCTTCTTTCACCTGTCTTTATCCTGCATTTTTGGGGTCGGCGCACATGTGTACACGTATGTATTTTACGGCCAGCCACCTGCCTCGTGTCAACAGCCCGATCCGGAACAAATATATATGGGTCCCAGAAATATTAGTCTCATGTTGGGATTCGAACCCACGACCCCTAACACCGAGGCTAATAGCTATTATCAATAATTAACGTATTTATTCCATATTAATATTGCATTTTTCCCTTAAGCTTTGCGAAATCTTCTACAATCAAGGCCATCATCGCAATCGGCTGGTTTCTAACTGTGATCACGTAGAAAGCGTGGTCGGATAAAACAGTTATTCAGGTACATCTCGTGGCCTTAAAGTCCACTAAGCAAAGGTCCAGTATACGTCGGACAACGGAGCGGCGCTGATAGATTGTGCCATAACTGTTTACTGAACCGAGACAAGTTCATTGATAAACTTGAATGAAGCGAGTAGACTAAATGCTCGTTATTGACCTTCTTATGCACACAATGGTCACGTTGGTGATTGCGTATCGATAGACCCTTATGTTATCGGATCGACTTGACAATGCCTGACTTGACGGAATGAATTGACTTAACAGCAAAGTGAGACAACAACGAACGTTCATATAATAATAATAGCAGACAAAAATGAACTGCAATCAATAAGGATATTTTGCGGGATGTCCCCGATTATATTAACCAGAAAAAAAAATGCAAAAGCATAAACACGTCTTTGCGTTTTTCACGCCATGGTAATTCCTGGACGAGACGGTCGCAACTCTAGCAGCTGCTACTATACGAACAGGCAACTCTGATTACTAAAAACAGTTCATTAGTCTTCCTGCAGCCTATGAGCCAGTGGACTCCTCCACGAAGTTCGGTTCATGCCATTTATTCACGAAAACTTCCAAAATGACCTACGGTCTTGCGCGTGTCGAATGATGACGGGAGAAATATATGATCGTGTTCGCGTAATAGGAAGTTGTGTTAAGCCAAATTAATTATAAAACAACATTGGAGATGCTCCAAAAATGATTAGATTAGGCGCCAATGTTTGGCAGCTTTCGTTTTCATCGAGCTATGACGTTTTGGCCGCCGACGACAAACATGCCATAACATTTGTCTGCGTCGCGAATTATGTGAGGACAGCGCGAGGGAGTGGAGATGAATGACAATTGTAATGCACATAAATTGCTGTGAAATGCGTTTGAAGGCTTCACATTGTTTTGAATTGGTTAATTGAAACCAAGACGGACAGTTTGAAGGACGTGAACACAATGCACAATACCTGCATATCCGAAAGGAATTCATTATGTTATGCGATTCTTGTATGATCCTTAACGCTTACGCCCGGTTTCTGAAACACTGATCATCGTAGAAGTCAAATGGCTTTTCAAATGTTATTTCAGTTGCCAAAAGGATAACAATCCTTCTCTTCGAAACTCTTCGAATTGATCATTCTGATCATTAAGAAGATCATTCTGTAGTCCAAGTGGATTGTTTACGATGAATAGGTATTTTAGTGGACATGCGACATGATGCTACACTGATTAACGGTGGTTAGGCCACGCAGCAGCCTCAGCTGTTGCACAAATGGGCAGGGCCGTCCGAGTAAGTACCACGACCTCACAGAATACCAGTGTAAAGTGGAAGTACTTTCTCTCGCGTACTACTTTCCCGTTTCTTCTAGTGAGTGAGGTAGCCGGAGCCCAATTTCCAAATGGTTGGAAACGCATCTGCAATCCCTCGGGTGTAGCAGATGTCCACGGGCGGTGGTATTCGCTTAACATCAAGTGAACCACCTGCTCGCTTGGCAACTTTTGACATTAAAAAAAATATTAGTAGGATTAATTCGGGAAATTGTCCATGTTGTATACGAGCAATCTATTTTAACAACTTTGGGAGATATTCCGATTGTTTATGGGAACCGCAAATATAATTGTGGCCCAGTGTTAAATCCATATTTTTTTAAAGATCCAAAAATTGGAAAATGTCATTTAAAAAAAATTTATAGTCATACTTCGTCTGCTAGAAAGTTGGTCTCAATTTAGTATATTCTGTATAATTTCTGATGCGTGTCAATACGCATTATTTTTTTATCAAACGTTAACGTATTATTGACCATCACATTATTGTAGTTATGGCAAACGTTATTTCGTTGCGAGTATTCGACCACTCGGTGAAATAAATAATAAGACAAAGACTTCGTCACGCTACCTCCCCTCCCAACAAATACATAATTCAGGGCGTAACGACCTGACATTGTCTTTGATCAGGTTTTAGTAATGTTGAAATAATTTCCTTTATCATCGAGGAACGAGCTGTTTTATATTCGACAAATACTTGATTTTTTTTTAAATTACGAATGTGGCAAGCGAGCTGGCGGTTCACCCGATGTTAAGTGGTAA